TAGGGTTTAGGGAGGGGCCTTAATAATTAGAATAGGGTTTTGGGGTACATTATACTATGCTCAAAATAAGGAAACCCCCAAAAGAGTATAGGTAATTATTCAGGCCCTATATTACCTCCAAGCCACATGGGGTCTTATTGAATACCATATTGTTTGCCACGTTATTTTATCTACTATAGATTCCTACTATGGTAACTCAAGAACTCGGAACCTTAAACCCAAAACCCTGAACCCTAAACCCTGAACCCAAAGCCCTGAACCCAAAGCCCTGAACCCTAAACCCTGGAACCCGGTGAAGCCAGGAACCCTAAACACAAAGTCTCGCAACACCTGGGAGAACTGTCGAATGGAGGAGCGCCGGTCGGGCCTGAATGTGAAGAAGACGCCCGGTTTAGGTTTAGGGTGTTGTTCGGTTTTCGTGGTTGGGATTTTTGGGTTTTGTAAGCTTTCAGGGTTTTGTTCGTGTTCCAGGGTTTTCGTTTTGGGGTTTGGAGTTTTGTTAAGGCTTGTAGGCCTCAGGGTGTAGGGTTTAGGGCGTACGGGGATTCGTTGTACTTAGCTCACAGAATCAGAAGCAAAGACAGGCGCCGCACAAGAACCGATCCCGACAGGCCAGCTGCTTCGTCCTTCATCTCAGTCTCAACATCGCTCTGACCGGCCTCTGCTTTAAAGCGGTCTGAACTTCTCCCTAAATCCCAAACCCTAAACCCCCAAACCCTTAAACCCCTAAACCCCCCATAGCCTTCCAAAGGACTCCTTCCTAGGTGGCATCGGCCGGTCTTGCTGTCTTTTGGACACCAAATGACTTCTCTGTCGTCAGCAGTCCTCTCACAAGCGGCACAGTAGGCACGCCAGTCTTGCCCATGTCTGTGTAGTGAACCTTGCTCCCTGCTGCCCTAAACCCTAAACCCTAAACCCTCAACCGAGGGTTCTTCAGGGTTTAGGGTTTAGGGTTTGTTGGCTTCTTGGCTCTAGGCCTTGACGGTGTTAGGCTTTGGGCTTTATAGTGTAGGAGTTGAGTGATTCATAACTGGGTCGTGTTCAAGGGTCGCCAGATTTTCAGGGACAGGCATCTCCAATAGAACGGCCTGGGAACTGAAGGCAATCGAAGCCGGGCACCTAGTAATCTGATATTCTGCCTTCGATTTCATAAACCCTCACCTTAAACCCAAAAACCCCAACATTCCAAACAAGGATTTGGTATGGGGGCCTCAACAGTAAGAATAGGGTTTATTGGGGTATGTTCTAGTATACTGCGAAGGAATCCTGCGGAACGAAAATGCGATTTACTCAGGCCCTTATATGTATGTGGGCAGTTCTCTAATTTCCGGTCCTTGCTTAGGAACCAAGAAATAATATGGCCGTTATAAAAAAGGACCCTGGAAGCTACCCTAATTTGGAGAACTACCTTATAGTACCCTTCTAGAAACCCTCTAGAAACCCTAAACCCTAAACCCTAAAAGACCGAGAACCGTGAAGGTGTCTCGTCCGGTCTTGGGCCACAGGAGGCTTCGCACCAGAAGTCAGGCTTAGGGCTGAGGGTTTGGGGCTGGTGTTCAGGGTTTAGGGTTTGGGGTTTAGGGTTTAGGGTTTAGGGGTTTTGAGTTTAGAGTTCAGGGATTAGGATATGCCGGGACCCTGACCATCAGGGCGTGCAGACAGACCACAGTAAAACTCTTACCCAGAAGCAAGAACCAGGAGCCCTCAAGTGGAGCGCACGTGGTCCTTCGGAAGATAAGGGAACCCGTCCCATTAAGCATAGCCTTAAACCCTAAACCCCTAAACCCTAAACCCTAAATCCTAAACCCTAAACCCCTAAACCCCGAAGCCCGAAACGGCCATAATCGAGACCCTAAGCTGCAGGTCCAATAACATGTTCGAGGCCAGGGAGTTACCCCAAACTGCCAAGCCTGAACATGAAATAGGGTTTAGGGCTTAGGGTTTAGGGGTTTAGGGTTTAGGGTTTAGGGGTTTTTGGTTTAGGGTGTAGGGTTGAGCCTATAACAACCCTTCTAAACCACCATTTTTCAAGACTGCGGAACAAACAACTGAAACCCCTGTATACACCACAGCAAGCCCTTTAAGGAACCCAAAACCACGTGAGGCCCCGTGCATCGAAAACTTGCTGGTGAGGTTGAGCCTCCTGAGATGGCGTTCGGATTGAGGGTTCAGGGTTCAAGGGTTTAGGGTTCCATAAGCCCGTTCTATAACGGTTCTTTCTTCTGTACAGGTTCTATAAGGGTTTTCTATAGGCTCTATACGGGGTCTATAAGGGTTTTCTATAAGGTTCGATAAGGGTGTTATAAAAGGGTGTTATAAGGGCTCCTTAAAGAGCTCTATAAAACCAAAGGTTCTATTCTGGCTTTATGCGGCTCTACGTAGGCGCTTAGGATCTTGGGCTGAGGCGATCAGGCCGTTGGGCTGCTTACGGCTGCATGAAGAGCTCAGGGTGTAGGGTTCAGGGTTCAGGGGTTCAGAGGCTCAGGGGTTTAGGGTTTAGGGTTTAGGGTTTAGGGTTTAGGGAGGGTTTAGGGCTTTGCTTTGAAGCCCTTTGCTGAAGCCCTAAACACCTCGGAGCCTTTTTGAACCAACCCCTTTCAAGCGCACACCCCTTCAATGCTTCAGTTCCGTGCCTGCAGGAGCTCTCACATCAAGGCATGGAGTATCGGGTGCGGGCTGTGGTTTTTTATCTAGGGTTCAGGGTTTAGCGGGCTTAAGGGTTCAGGGCTTAAGGGTGTAGGGTTTAGGGTTCGGGGTTCAGGGTTTTGGGTTCGCGGTTCAGGGTTTGGGGCTTCAGATGCTTCGGCGGGTACACTCTCTTTTCAGGGTCTTGGGTTTAGTATCTTCTTCATATTTCCTACTGCTCTCCCCGGAAGGCATACCAATCTTCCAACTTTCTGGCTTCTAATGTCCCAACCCATCCACAACCTGAACCCTAATGCCATAAATTCCGTATCAACCGAGCTGCAGCACATCGTAGGCACAAGAGAAGGTTCCGCTTGAACCTCAGGTTGGGTTTCTCGGCTTCAGGATCAGGATTTAGACGCTTGGGATCCAGATACGATTGGGCTCAAGCTAAAACTAGACCCCCAGGTTAAACCTCTAAAGGGCGCAGTGCTTTGAGAGTTTAGGACCACCTACAAAGCCAACCCTAAACCCTAAACCCTAATCTCAGACCCTAAACCCTGAACCCTAAACCCTAAACCCTCAACCCTGAACCCTAAACTAAGCCTGAACCCTAAACCCTAAACCCTAAACTAACCCCTGAACCCTAAACCCTAATCTCAGACCCTAAACCCTAAACCTAGGGTGTTTTGAACTCTTCAGGACCACTCTGAAGTCCCCAAGTCTGACTGTAACGCCACAGACCTCTTAAGGCGTCCAGAATCGTACGATGGGGGATCTACAAAAAAAAAGGGGCCTTAATCATTAGACTAGGGGTTGAGGCTCCTGTATAGTATACTTATAATAAAGAAAAGGAACCTAAGGAGTAATCATATTGGAAATTATTTTGGCTTCTACGGTAACCCCAGGGCTCAAAATAGCCCCAAAAGCCTTACATAGTATGGTCTTTGGGTCCCAGAGCCTTAGAATATGAGTCCTTAGAGCCTTAGGATAATGTACGGCTTAAATAATTAGAATAGGGTTTGGGTGTATATTATACTATGAATGTATTAAGGAACCCCTAAAATAATTTGAGTTTTTAGGCCCCTATATTAAGGCTTCAGGGCTTAAGGGCAGTGGGTTTGGGGTTCCGGGCCTAGGGTTCCGGGCTTGGGGTTCAAGGTTTCGGGGTTGAGGGGCTTAGGAAGGCTCCATATAAACGCGACTGCACAGAAAGCGAGCGAATAAACCCTCAGATGTCCAAAGCCCGAAGACAAAAGCATAGCTAGTTTTGAATTTTGGCTCACTTCTACGATTGCTTTCAAAAAAATGACGCCAAACAAGCCTAAATTCAACCCGAAACCAATCGTCTAAAACCCCGCAGCCCCGACGACGAAGCCTGAGAACCCGAAATGCGCACCAAGAAAAGGCACGAAGAGCCCTGAAGTCCGGCAAAAAACATTGGAACACTTGGGCTAAACCCTAAACCCTAAACCCTAAACCCTAAACCCTAAACCCTAAACCCTAAACCCTAAACCCTAAACCCTAAACCCCTACGTCCTAAACCGTGGCTTTCGGGTTTAGGGCTTAGGGAAGTAATCCCTAAACCCTAAACCGTGGCTTTAGGGTTTAGCCCGAGAAGCAGCCGTACCAAGACTCCTCGCAATCCCCCCTAAATCCTAAACCCTAAACCCTAAACCCTAAACCCCTAAGCCCTAAACCCATAAACCCTAAACCCCTAAACCCCTAAACCCCAAAAACCCTAAACCCTGCTTTGGCCCCCCGACTGAGATCTCCGTAGCAGACGTGGAAGGGACCTTCATATCAGGGCCACCATAAGAAGTTCTAGGATTTTAGGGGTTTCGGGTTTAGGGGTTTAGGGTTTAGGGTTTGGGTGTTCAGGGTTTAGGGTTTAGGGGTTTACGGTCTAGGGGTTTAGGGGTTTAGGGGTTTGGGGTGTAGGGGTTAAGGGTTTAGGGGTTTAGGGTTTGGGGGTTAGGGTTTAGGGTTTAAGGTTTTAGGGGTTTAGCAGTTAAGGGGTTAAGGAGTTTAGGGTTTAGGGGTTTAGGGTCTTAGAGTTTAGGGGTTTAGGGTTTAGGGGTTTAGGGTTTAGGGGTTTAGAAATTTTGCGGTTTAGCGTTTAGGGTTCAGGGGTTTAGGGTTCAGGGGTTTAGGGTTTAAGGGTTTAGGGTTTAGGGGTTTAGCAGTTAAGGGGTTTAGTGTTTAGGGGTTTAGGGGTTTAGGGTGTAGGGTTTGGGGTTTCCGCGTTTATGCTTTAAGGGTTTCGAGCTTCAGGGTTTAGGGTTTTGGGGTTTATGGGCTATGGGTTTAGGGTTTACGTCGGCTTCGTAGCGTCCACTATGGGGGCCTTGATGCTTGCTGCGGCTCTTTCAATGTGGTGTTAGAGGGTTACACAGGGATTATGTGGGGACTCTTGGGGCCCTAAACCCTAAACCCTAAACCCTAAACCCTAAACCCTAAACCCTAAACCCAGATCCCTTCGGATTTTTGATAAGGCTTGCATAGAAGTCTAAGAGGGCCTTGCGGGCTCTCGTCAGGATGCTCTCTTTCGGGTTTAGGGTTGAGGGTGGCTCTTGACTTTTTGGAGTGAGGGAGCTCGGGGTGCTTTAGGGTTCTGGGTTCAGGGTTCAGGGTTCAGGGTTCAGGGTTTAGGGTTTAGGGTTTAGGGTTTAGGGTTTAGGGTTTAGGGGCTTTCGGCCGGCAGACCCGGATTTGAGAGAGGTCATGGGATCGGGCTGTTCGCTTATCGGGGTTTAGAGCTGTCTAGGCATCGGGGCCTGTTCGGGAGGGGCGGGGTACATGATGCTATGCTTATATAGGGGCTGCAAGGAAACACTACTATTGCCAACATCATCACTATGATTGTTCTTCTTGCAGTTTTATCTTTCTTATGACTATTGAAGTTGTTACTCTTACTACTACTCCCGTATTACAAATATCTTGGGCTCTGGACCTGTCCAGCTTCAGGGCTTGAAGATTCGTGGTGTGTTCGGATGATGTGGGAATTCCCAAAGACGGGCAGCGAGTGAAGGAAGAAGAGCAGCGGCAGCGGTGGCATGGCAAGAACCACAAGTCAACCCATCAGTATCACGAGCAACCTCAACTACCTCCGGTCATTTAACCAGCTACTGCTCCCCAACACCAGGAACGCGGCCGTACTTGAACGTGTCGTAGGAGTTTCCGAGCCGCACCACCTAAGTGCAGAGTTCAGCGTATGGGGTTCAGGGGTTCAGGGCTCAGGGCCGAGGGCTTAGGGCATGGCAAGGGGTTTCCAAACATGGGCCAGCGGTCCTTGTCCTTTTTCGAAGGCCGTGCGTAAAACAATTCCTCTTTTCAAGTAGTGGCGCCACCCAGCAGAACCCAATTCTCAAGCCCAAGACCCTAAACTACTTTTGAGCAGTGCCGGGCTCAATTCAGGGCTTCCTTCTGCTATGTGCTTACAATGTGCTGAGGGACACCGATGTTATCTCCATATTTCCCAAGCGAAAGGTTCGCGACTTGACTTGACCCTGCTCATTCATAGGAAGAGTGTGCCAAGGAAGAAGATCGATTCAACGCAGATGTCAGATTTGTGTTTGTAGGTGTGGGGGTTATTGGGGTGTTGGGGCTATTGGGGTTATTGGGGTGTTGGGGCTATTGGGGTTAGTGGGGTGTTGGGGTTATTGGAGTTTCGAGCTTTTTGGGGATCAAACTGGGCTGAGAGCTCAATCGCTGCGCTTCTGTTTGAGGGTTTCGGGGGATCAAACAGCAAGTGCCTAGTCGACAGCCCTTAAGCCCCACTACCACCACCACTCCCATTCCCATTCCCACTGTCACTCCTACTCCCGCTCCGACTCCTACTCCTACTCCGGCTGCTGCTACTGCTACTGTTTATGATACTACTATCTAAAGAATTATAGTAATGACAGATAGTCATAGTCATAGAGTATACTTATTGTAACATCACTTGTAGTAACAAACATATCAATAATTCGAATAAGAACAACGACAATGACTATAATAATACTGATAAGCAAACTCGCAATAATAACCACTATCGTAATCAAGACCCCCAAACAGCACAGCCAGGTCGACGACTTCAGCTTGAAGCGCCGCGGAAGTCAACTGACAGAGCTGTCTTTTCGTGTCTTTCTGCTTACTACGGGGTGGGGTTTTGGGGTTTAGAAAGTTTGTGTCTGGAGCTTGGAATCCGGCAACGACACTAAAGCTTCGGAAGTATGCGTGCTCCAGGTACAGGTCGCCACGGTGCTGCCGTGCAACGATACGGTCAAAACATCGCAGCCAAAGAACTAGACCCCAAACCGTTTACCCTATCCTAAACCCTAAACTTATAAAGTCCGGTAATAGCAAAGC